GCATGAGTCGACTCAACCTGATGAGTCGACTCATGTACATGTATGAGTCGACTCACAGGCAGAAATCTGGATTCTTCGAATCTTCGATTCTCTGCCTCGTTCCTCGCTCCAACCTGCGTTCCCTTGTACTGTTTGACACCTCTATTCTTATGCTATCATGAGAATCATCTATCCTCAAGCTCCCATGAGGATCTCTAAGTTCCGAAGAGAAGATACACCCGTATTACAGGGAGTATAATATTGGCTGGTGGATTCTCTTCCAAGAGAGTTTCCACCATAAAAGGTACCATGTAGCTTCTGGTCATGCCCCCAACCCTCACGAACCTGACCTGAAAACTGCCATTCAACATGATTCATGGCATCTGGATAGTTCCTTTTGCCAAAAACCGGCATGCCAACCATCCACCTTTAAGGTCTTACTGAAGATTCAGACTCAAAAGGAACCTTGGCTGATGAGATGACAAATAGAGTTTTGACTCATCTTCGTTTATCAACAAGTCGTCTGCTATAAAAGCAAACAAAATCCGACTAAGAGAGGTTCTATATTGGCAGCCTCATCCACTATAAAATTACCTTTGAAGCAGAGCCTAAGCAAGATCACAAGTGGTTTTACCCCCTTTGAGCATCAGACGCCTGCAAAGGATATTTTTCATGATGATGTAAAATACAGAACTAATAAAATATTATTCAGTATGAATTAACTCTGATCTCGCAGGGATCAAGGCTTCACTATGGCCAAAGACCTAGACATCATGTAAGACCTAGACACCCCTAACAAGCCATTGGTACCTTATCTGGAATAAACTCAAGGCACAACCCTTTGGCTGACTCCCACAGTTTTCTCTAGGCCTTAGGGGAAGGAAAACGCTAATCAACTCTCAAAAGTTCTACGCATTCGACTCCTCAGTCAAATTTTAAGCCCTTGGTACATTTTCAGGGTAAACCTAAAGCACAACGACTCCTCAGTTGAATAACAAGACCTTGGTACTCTATCAAGGTAAATCCAAGGCACAACATATGGTCGATTCCCCCGACTCTCATCGGTCATCATGGACATACCCTTGGTACCTTATCAGGAATAAACCTAAGGCACAACCCTTTGTCCGACTCTCATAGTTTTCTCTCGTTCTTAGGGGAAGGAAAGCCCTAGTCAACTCTCAAGAGTTCTAGGTATTCGACTTCTCAGTCGAATTTTAAGTCCTTGGTTCCTTTTTAGGGTAAACCCAAGGCACAACGACTCCTTAGTCGAATAACAAGCCATTGGTACCTCATCAGGAATAAACCCAAGACACAACCATATGGTTGACTCCCACAGTCACCACTTAACCATACTAGAATTATGAAGACTTAGGCACCTACGTAAGACCTAGGCATCCAACCTCAGGATTATCATTCTGCCAAAAAGGTATTCATAAGCCTTATGTATGAGTATTAAGTGTAGGTCCAATACTTAATTGATCTAAAAACTTCAGCAGTCATATGTCAAGTTCTGGTCAATTAAACGCTCTGCCAAAATAAGACGTCAGGTGAAGTAGTTGTCATAAGTCCCCAGCACGGGTCAACATATTACAACTAACTCACTTCAACCAACACCTCAGACGAGAGCAAAGCTACAAAGCTAAAAGAATATAAGCAATGAAGGCAAGCTCAAGAATGGAGACAAAAGTTAATTTTTATTCAAATAAGAGTAAACTCCGCTACAAACAAACATGCAGGTCTTCAAATCTCTCGACCAAATTCGGGAGTCGGACTTAGCAGACTCCTGGTGTCAGAAATTGTAGAAGATTCCCTAGGGGCCCCAGCAACAGGCTCGACCTTATCATCATTCGCTGATAAATCTAACATGCCTCTAATTTTCTCAACATCTTTCAACAAGTCAAGACAACATGAGACACATGAAGGATAAAAGCGATCTGGAATAGGATGAGAGTCACGAGGCACTAAGGAGGCGAAGTAATCAACCCCAGCTTTACATGCTAAGGCTACTTCAGCCTTCCTTATAGGGCCATGACACCAGTCGTCGACCACCTTCTTTTTATGCTGCTCCAAATCCAGATGAGCGAGTTGATCCTCCAATTTATCGACAAGGGCCATGGACGTCTGAAGCATTGATTGTAGCTCTTCAAAGTCCCTCCTCGTCTTTTCAAGAGACAGGACTTGATCGAGCCTCTACTTCAGCCGTCGTCCTGCGACGCTTCTCGGACTTGGCCTCCACTTGTGGATAAACTATCTCCCTTTGAAGGTCCTCGATGGTCCCTACCTACTTGGAGAACTGGATTTGAAAGCTCTTGAGGAGCTCTTCCTTCTCATCCATACTCCAACGCCAAGCGTCTTATTTATGGGCCAATTCGGCTTCCAAGATAGTGATTCTCTTCTCTGCCTCTTCCTTGACCGACTTCTCCTTCACCAGTCCTTCTTATCATTCCAGAGAATGCTCAAGTCGATTGAACAGGGCGTGTCCCAGCAAAGTCCCCCGAGCTAAACAAGCTTGAAGAGCTTAGTGTATGCCAACACTTGGTATATCCTCCAAAATCCTCCCATCAACACAATTCTCTATCTGGTCTGACAGAGTTTTAGCTCTCCCCTCGACGTCATCGTCCATCCCAATTAGCTCTTTGCCAGGACGACGAGATGCCTCAAGACCGACAGCATCCTCTTTGACCACTAAGGCCATTGTCTCCCTATCAGGAGAAGACTCATCTATCTACCCCACAATTTCCAAGCGGTTAATCTGAGTTATTAGCGGACCCATCCTAACTGGCTGGGACCTCACAACTGGTCCGATTGGATGCCGCCTCTCAACCCTTTTCCTTCCCCTTCTATCCATAATACTTCGTCTCTCAAAAAGGCGGTTCAAATCTTTGATGATGTCAGGTATGAATAGCGGAGTTAATAATGGTGGCCAATAATGACAAGCCACGTCTCTAAGATAGAGACTTCTCAATTTCTCATCCTCAATAGGCCTGTATTGATCAGAGCATATCTTATTTCTCTCGGAGTCAATTGAAATCCGACTCCAAGTGAAAGGGGCCAATTGTTATGGTGTTCACTTACCCAAGATACATATATTTACAAAATGATACAATAAGAGTTCTAGCAAAATAAACTCAATCCTTTGGATGATTCCCAGAGCTTTCTCTCGACCTTAGGGGAAGGAAAGCCCTAGTCAACTCTTAAGAGTTCTAGGCATTCGACTCCTCAGTTGAATTTCAAGCCCTTGGTACCTTTTCAGGATAAATCCAAGACATGACATATGGTCGAATCCTCTAGTGCAACTCGACCATCATGGCTAATTACAGACCTTGGTACCTTATCAGGAATTAACCTAATGCGCAATCATAGAGGCCTCGGCGCCATCGACTCATCAAGCTGACACTCTGGTGTCGACACGAAAGGCAATCTTGGTCGGCACGAGAGATTCTGACCTCCCAGACGAGTCGACATCTCTATATCTACTCAAGAGATGGTTCTTGGCTAGGATAAGATGACATTCCGACCAGTAGGACAGGTCGACATTCTTTCATGCTAACATGAATGACGTGATCAGTCGACCCTATCATTGAGGATAACCCTACTTAGGACACTCGACCACTCACTGGGCAATTCTCAGAAATGACTGGGGGGACATTCCCTGTTGCCGACTAAGTTGAGAATTTGGCCCCAGCCTCAAGCCTCTCTCCCAGAACATATGTTAACATCTCAGTCCACCTCGGACAAGTCTTATCCAGATTTTGGCCTGATAGGCCTCCATGACTTGTCGGCTCAATCACTTCCCAGAAAATACAGAGACACACTCTCCCATAATGAAGTGACTTCCTCTCCAGTCGTCAGCCGACACCTATAAGGCGAGGGATGATTCAGTATGCCAGCATGTTTTTTCTGCAACATTCTCAATCGCTTCCTAGAAAATATGGAGGCATCCTCTCCAGAGCTGAAGTGACTTCCCCTCCAGTCGCTAGCCGACACCTGTAAAGCGAGGGATGACTCGGCTCTTAGCTTGCACTCTAACACCGCTTCCCCTATGCTGGGCTAAAGGTAACCTATCTGATCCTAACAAGAGGGAGGGGAGAAAGAGAGAGGAGGGATCAAGACTTCCTCCTCCTGAGCTAAATCTAGGAGATCATCATCTATCATAGAGATAGAAAAGAACACACAGTTCTTCATCAACACAGAGGAGCTCACGTAGATCCTCTAGGCATGCACATTGTCACCTTAAGAACCACATCGGTTCCTGACCTTTCCCTTCCCCACTCGAGTTTCACTAACTTGACCGTCGGAGGAACCACATGGGAACCAGTCTTCGCCCTCTCATGGATTCTTCTTTTCTGTGCAGGGTTGACATCAAGCCCTCGTTCAAGAACCAAGTATAAAGTCGAAGAAGGGAGCAGGCTCTCCATCATCCTTCATCACTCTGCAACCATCCTCTTCTGGATTATTTTGTTTGATATTGAGCATCAACACTATCCATAGCAAGGATCAAGTCATCTTGCATGATATGAGCCTCCTGCTCATTCGCATCCTTCTTTTGTGCTTTACAGGATGAAGACATATGGCCCTTCTGGCCGCAGTTCCAATACTTCCCTTTGATAGGTCTTACCTTCGAGTTCGACCTCTTCTTCTTTGACTTCGACCGATTCCTATTCTGGTTACCCTTCTTTTGGCTTCGGCTTCTCTGCTCGAGATTTAGGGTTGAACCTGAACCTTCTGATTTAGACGATTTTCTTCTAACCTCCTCGGATTAAATCATGCTAACAATCTCGCTCAGGTTCAACTTTTTCTTCCCCGTCGATTTGCTGATTGCGGTCATGCAGCCTGCACAACTATCTGGCAACTGAAATAAAATCAATATGGCATGCACTTCGTCATCAAACGTGATGTCCATGGAGATAAGTTGATCAACAATCGTGTTTAACTCGCTGAGGTACATCGTGAAGGTGCATCCTTTTGTCATCTTGAGTTGAAGAGCGTTTTGATGAGATGCATCTTGTTTGCGGCTAACGGTTGCTCATACATCTTCGCGAGTGCTTCCATAAGTCCCATCGTCGTCTTTTCCGTCAATATATTATGGGTGAACGATTTGACGAGCGACAACCGGATTTACCCTAAAGCCTTCCTATTTAGTATTTCCCGCTCCTCGTTTGATTCCTCCTTCTTTTTTTCCTTAGCATCGCCCATCAATGGACTGTAAAGATCCTTCTGGTACAGATAGTCCTCCATCTGTGACTTCCAGTAGGCAAAGTCTGACCCGTCAAAATTATCGATCTTTGATTTGCTTTCATCTACCATGGTTCTCGCACAAATCTTCTGAACGAAGCTCTGATACCAATTGTTGGGGATTCGAAATAACCAATCGAACCCGTGCCCTTCCGGACCTTGTGCTAAGAGTTTAGCAAGTAGGAAAATCACCACAAATAAAAGAAAAAATTACAGGAAAGATAAACAAGAAAGAACACACCCGATTTAATGAGGTTCGGTAACGTGTCTACGTCCTCGGGAGCCACATCACATAATTCTTTGATTAATTGTAGAAGATTACACTGCCCACAAATAAGTTTTTATCTCTTTGAGATCTCTGAAAGAATCCTCTCAAAACCCTCTTTTTCACGTGTTCTTTTAATTCTAAAAACATATTAGGTATATATAGTATCCGAGCCCAAAATAGAATCTCAAACAATTTAGGAAACTGCAAAAACGGCTTTCGGTCGACCGGACCATGTGTTTCGGTCGACCGGCCAGAACGCAGTTTTCTTACAGGGTCTGATGCACATTTTCGATCGTCGGAGTCCTCGTGTCGGTCGACCGGACAAAATGTTCATTTCCTATAAGGTTTTTCAATTGACCAAACTATCCTTGTCGGTCGACTTGCTAAAGCGAGCTTCGCACGCTTGTTTCTTGTAGGCGTCGCGATCGACCGGATCTCCTCCGTCGGTCGACCGAACTGGGTTTTTCTAGCTTTCTTCGTTGATTTGATTCCAGGTTTGGTCTACACTCTCTATTTTCTCAGTGGCCGATCTGCTATACTACTATCTTGTTGTTGCTAATAAATACATGAATTAGTGCATTATCAACTTCATACACAGTAACTGAAAAGCTTATCTAGTTATAACTTTTTTTACTATAGTCTATATGATTAATTATAGAAGACCGTCTACATAATTTTTTTTCTTCTCATTTTTTTCCTCTGACAATAACCAACGACCTCGCGGCGGGCAAGATGTCGCCCTCGCGTCTTCTTATTTCCCTCTCCCTTCCCAAATACCAAATAAAACTCAATTAAAAAAGATATCAAAAAGTTAAAAAACTATTTAAAATATTAAGAACTTAATTTTATTTCGTTACGAGAATTAGAACATGTGCATTATATGACTCGTAGCCAACACCGACAGCTCAGGTTGCTCGTCACTGTAGCAAAACTCTCGGGCCGACCTTATGAAGTGTCCATTTTACCCCTACGTCCCCGTGGGCAAAAAAAGCCAGTTGGATGCGCTGTCGTCCTCGACTTCTGCAGTAGTAGTCTTCAAACCGAAGTTGCTTGCTCACCTAGAAACTGGGTTTTTTAGTAATTTTCTTCCCTCAAATCTTCACGCTTTTGGTCCTCGCTTCTCACTGCTAGGGAATAATTCGCACTGGCAGAATTAAATTCTCCATTTAACCCTCTCCACGTCATCCCCTCCTCCGAGTTTTCTAGAGTTTAAGGGGTAAATTTGGTATTTAAGCTTCGAAATTAGGACAGCGAGAGTGAGTTGCATTAGATTTCCGTGGTCCCCACTTCCCACAATCTCAACAGCCTGTCCTTTTAACCATCCGGACCTCGCCGCTCGAGCCATTTCGTATGCCTCCGGGCAGCCCACTCGTTCGAAGGGATTTTAACCTATATGCTAATACGCCCCTAACTAAACCATATTTGCAAATGTAGTCTCTAAACCTGTGCATCTGACAATTTAGTCTCAAATACTAACGTGGAGTTAAAAACGCCTCCAAATTTAAGTTCGTTAGTCTTTGAACAGTTGAAAAAGAAAATTTAAAATGCTCTAGTTGACATAACATTCAAAGGCTGCTTTATATTAACATGTGAATTTAATACGAATCCTATCCGAGCATCACCTACGAAGATTGGTTGATTTGAACCCTAAAAAAAACTGTTACTATATTTTTTGACGACATTCGTAATCGCTAGAATTTGTGAATTGCTTAGCAATTATTTAGATGCGGGGTATGAATTTGCAAATATGATGGATTTCGTACAGATTTAAGGTAGTTATGAGGTGGGTGTATAATTGACGATAAAGGATCCTCTTATAATAATGGATTAATCAACAATACTTCAATGTATATTAATTCCTTCGACGTCGAGCTCCACATTCGCCACAAATATAATCTCATCACCTTTGTGCCATCGCCATGGGTTCTCCGATCTACCGGCGCCGCAAAACCCTAATCCTCGGCTGTTTCGCTGCCTCTACGGGCGCCGTGTTATCACCAGCATTGTCGACCAAGCGATCGCGTCCGGCGGCGGCCAGATCAACTGCGCTAACCTAGGTGGGGTGCCGTCCGCGGTGTCGCCTCCTCCTGCGACGGGTTTTTTTTGTGTGTGTGGTGTGGCGTGTGTGATGTGTTGGATTGTCCGCCCACATACAACCGAGCTCGCCTGAGCTTGGTCGAAAGGGCTCCCTCTCGCAAACCCTTGTTGTTTTGTTTGAGAGTCCACGATCTCCGACCGGCAACCTCATCGGTATCCTCTATCTTTCGCGCCTTCAAATGAATCATGTCGGTCGAGCCGAGATCTTGTCTGACCTTCCGAGTTCAATGGCGCTTCCTCCTCGAGGCCCGCAACATCTGAATTCTGGCCTTCCAATATCGACTGCTCCTCTTTTCACATGATCCCTTCTAATAGAGTCACTCCGACTCCTTCGATCGCAGCCACTCTTGGGGTAACCCTCTCCTGGCCACCGAATTTGGTTTCTCGCCTCTCCGGCGGCAAATCGATGGCGGGAGCGGCCCGTGATCCGCCCGCCGACGACGTCGTCCGGCCCGAGCGGCGTCATCCACGGCGTCGACCAATGCTGATGTCTTCGTCTTTAGATCCGGTTGGGTCTTATGTTTGTATTTGACTTTCGGTAACCGCCCGGCCTTGGAAGCCTCCGTTGCCGCATCGCCGCCGTGCTCCACCGAGGCCGCCGGTCGTCGATTTCCGGAGGACGCCACTTCCGCCTGAAGAAGCCGGCGCGGCCGGTCCCATTGCCGGCGGGGGTGCCTTTTGGTTTGGTCCCGCTGCTCGCCGATCTACGACGCCTGGCGCCGGCGCTCGTTGCCATTGCGGCCCCGCGCCGGCGCCGGGCGCCGGATCCGCCCACCGCCACTTCGACGGGGAGGCCCAGGTCAACGGACTTCATCCAATACGCCTAATCCTCTACGGCGGCTTACAACGAGCTGCGCCGACATCCTGGTCAAACCTACACGCAACCTCGCCACCGAGATGGGACCGCCTGGTTTCCAGGGCTACTGTCCTCACGGCGTCTCGCTCCGAACGACGAGGCGATGTCGAGGCTGACCGACGGACCGGCTCTAGCGAGCCGCGCGCCGGAGCAGATAGTGTACCTACATCTGATACCGGAGTACTAGACGAGGAGAGGCATGTACCAATTGCGGTCCGGAGTTCGGGAAGGTGAAGTACGACAGCAGCTGAGCGCTGCCGCATATAGGTGGTGGCGAGGAGGCGGATGGGTCGGTGAAGTTCGGGCGGGGGAGGGGTCGGCCTTATTTGTTCGACCCGGTATATTATACGGGACGGAGGATCTCGTCCAGGGGATAGCGATTCTGTTCTTTTCGGCCGCGGAGTAGGAGAGGAAAGAAGGTCCCCGGCGGCGGAGGTGACGCCTCTAACGACGGCGGCAAGCCAAGGGGGCGAAGAAGGTTGGTGCAGCAAGGAGAGGTAAGTTTTTTGCTTTTTTTTATTGTTTTTAACAATGCGAGTAGGTATTTTCTTTTTTGATTGAACTGGGTGTGTTTGTATTTCAACGGGGTCAAGGGAAGTTAATGGAAACTAGGTGAGAGAATGGAAGGAAAGGGAAGGGTTACATCCCAATTTGGGGTAACAAATTTTATAGTATTAGGGGGTGTTTGGTTCAATTTCTAGAAATTATAGGAAATGTTTTCCACCTAAAATATGATTTCCTTGTATTTCTTAAAAAAATTATAGGAAAAGTTTTGAGAAATCAAAAAGTACCAATTTTCTTATTTTTTGTACTTTGCTTGTTTGGTTCAAAACAAGAAAATAGCTCATAACTTTATAGAAAATAACAAGATTTGGTAGGTTTTTAATTAAATATGGTATGTGTCAGATTTCTGGTGATTTCCTCTCATTTTGAGAGGAAATTGCTTTTTGTAAAATTTGGTAGGTTTTGATATTTTATAGAAAATATTTGTGTAAATTTTTTGTTGAACCAAACACAATTTACAGAAATCTCTGGAAAACTTTTAATTACAAATTTACCATTGTCAGATGTTTTAAGAAAAGTTTTCTCAAAAAGTGTGCAACAAAACAGCCCCTTAGGAGGTAAACCAAGGGGAATTAGGATGAATAACTTCACCTTCTAAATTTTCCCAAACAAGATGAATGGTTCCCCTAACTTCCCTTCACCTTTATTCCCCTCAATCCAAACAAGCCCAGACTAGTCCTTGACAAACATTGCAATATTGACATCCAATCCGGCCATTTTATAATAAGACTCGTTAGGTGAATTGATCCCTTAGAAGTTACCTGCTGGAGAGAGTGAATTCGAATCTGTTACTAATCCGCAATAAATTTACCATTTAATCAATGTGAAATCAAATGTGTGTCTCGGTATTGGGTTGGCTGTGGCCGGAGCTTAGGTTTGCGGATGATTTGGGGAGGTTTCCGGCGGGTTTTAGGGCGGTGAGTATACCGGGCTGTGAGAGTAGCGGGAATAAATTTTCTCCAGCGAGGAAATGCGGGTAAAGTTTCCGTTTCATGTAACGTGTGCCGATCATGAGAGTTGTCGGTGAGGTTATCCTCGTTGCCTTTAGTTTATATCCCTTGCCTTAGTAAGTTTCTTTCTTTCTTTTCTTGTCAAAAGTCTTGTTTGCGCTTCAACACCCTGAAAATTTTATCTCTTCTAAGTTTGTAATCTTGTAGTCCGATTTCGGAAATTTGATACTCTAATAGTTTTCAAAGTGAAGTTATCTTACAATTTGATGCCCCAAAGCGCGAACTTTGTTCCTCAATTTCCTAAAAAAAACCCAAAACTGAAATTTGGTGAGGAAATTTGTTTCTCGTTCACTTTTCTATGTTGATGTTCTTGACTAGAACTAATATTAATTGTTTTTGCATGTTATGAAACTTTGGGGGTATTAAATTGCAAATAACCCTTATGAAATATATTCTATTAGATGATGATAAAGTAATATGAGATTTTGCTGAAGAAATATCTTCAAGATTAATATGTCTGCATTATAAAACAAGTTTAAGAATGATAATGGAAGATAAATGCATGGTTTTCTACTTTATATTATCTGTTATTGGTGAAAAGAAGGAGCAATATAGAGAAATAATCTTTTTAAATCAAAATGGTGGGGAATCCTTTTCAGAGAGCTGGCTTTTGGTTGTCCAATTAAAAAGATACATGAGACCTTTGTTTTGTCTTCATCAACAAGGGATGTTCTAAAGTAGACCTAATTGCATGGGTGTTCTTTTGTTATAATTTGACTAAATTTAAAAGTACCCGTGTACTTGAACTAAATTTAAAAAACATTATAACCTTTTTTTCATTCAATTACCCATAAATTTAAACAGTTGTGATTTCGTTATGCGAGTAGAGTCTTCTGTGCCATTTACGTGAGGGTAGGATGAAGGCATGATTTTTCAACCATCTCTTTTATGGTTCATAAAACCGGTTTGCATGGGGAGTGTTTTGTGCCCTTTACTTGAAGGCAGGATCAAGGTAAAAAGAATAGGATTTTAAGATAAAATAAATTGTGATTAAGTTTAAGTTAATTTTTTTAGCACCATTGATGATCCAGATAGTTGGGAGGTTCAAATATCGCCTCACTATAAATAAAAAAAATTATGTCATTTTCTTTATTACAGCAGAACCAAAAGCAGTATAACGAGCACTACTTCTTCAAAGGGAAAATCATGAATTTTATGGTAACATGAACAGAGAGTAATAGTATTTTTTAAAAAGCAGTCCAAAATTTATGTCAATTTTTTAGCCGACAAAAGGGAGGGAGTATCTTGGGAGGCCCATCAATATGGAAGAATTTGTCATGTATCCATTTTTAAAATGAAAACTCAAATATTATAGTCTAAGGGGGGATTCACATCTCACAAAGGACTCTTAACAACTAGCCATATCGTGGTTGTACTTCAATTAAGTTAACAGCTTATTAAAAGATTTTATTTTTGTTGGTAGCAGATGGATTCTCTCTAACATTGCCAATTAATATTATTAAATCAAGCTGATTAAATTTCTCTTTTATGGTTTTTGGTTGCAGGGAAATTGCTAGAGGTAGCATGTCACATGATTGGGGCTTTTGGTCAGCGGTCTAAATTTACCACTTGCCAGAATTGAAAAAATAAATAAATAAATTTCTATATAATTGAGAAAAACGGAGAGGTGATGCGCCCATAATATTCTTTAATTCGTAATAACAATATAAGTGGGGGCAAACCTAGTGTTTATTTGTTTGTTTGTTTTGTTAATAGTAGAAACTAGAGAGAGAAAGTCGTGTATTCGTGTATAGAAGAAATGTTTTTGTTTGTTGTATTCTTCGCACGCATGAAATTTGCAATAAATCATTGCAATCAAACCTTTGTTTAATTATCTAATATGTAAATGTGAAGTATTTCATGAAATTTGCAATGAATGTTCGCAAAGAAAATCTTTGCTTAATTGTCAAATGCTTGTATGTGTATTGTCAAAGTGCTGTTGAGCAGTCAACGTATAGAACTTATATGTTTATAAAAGAAAGCGAATATTTAGGTGGGATGTGTTAATCTCCTTTTGCTTAATCAAGGAATTAGAAAGAAAATTATACGGCTGGAAAATGTGGCTATTGCTGCAACCTTTTCAAATCTGTAGTTAAATTATATAATTGCAGCCACAGATTACTCATAACCAAAAAAACTAGGCGTATCTTTACTACTTTTAACGGTACATAAAAACAATTCAGTGTAAATTAGCAAACACGGATTCAACAAAGGGTACTAGATTCGTTAGAAACCTATTCATCAGTCATCGTCCTCCTCATTGCCATTGCTAGCGTATTCTGGACTAGAATCGTATTCATCGTCCTCCTCCTCGTTGCCACTGCTAGCGTATTCTGGACTAGAATCATATTCTTTGGACTCTTCGTCTTCATCTGGATCCGGTTCATCATCGGAACGTTGATGATAGCCTGGATAATAATCTACATCATCATCTACTGCGGGATCTTTCTCCTGTTGCTGCTGCTGTGAATGTGGCAAACTGTCTTCTTTGTCCTCTTTATTATCATCCGTGTCATTAGCATTGCCATTAGTATTGTTATCATTACTTGGATCATCATTAGCCGGATCCATTGCACCTTGATTGTACGTGCTCAGTTATTTGATCTTTCTAAGTCTATCATATGTCTCTAAGACTTCATATATATGAATGTTTGTTTCGATACGAAGGTGGTTGGTGGTGATATTCTCATGAACCATCATGGAATTGTAGCTTGATCTTTCAAGGTGATTTTCTTATGACAAGCCCAATCAATGCATGTCCTGTGCATGAGAGAAATGAAAATTTGACGTTGGATTATATGAATATTTGAGCACAAGTGTGAGCCCAACTTGATCCTTAGTTTTAGGTCCGTGAATTTAGACAGGAAGTGGATGACACGCACTCTCAATTTATCCTAAAGTATGATATGTGACACGTACAGTATACTTCTCATCTAAACCTAGAAGTGAGACCAATGTACTTGCAATTAGTTGTTTTTTAACCGACACATGGAGCGGGATCAGAGGCGATTCGACAGGCGACAAGGAGCGGCGTTTAGGGTTCCAAGGCGGCGCTACGTCTCCTTCAACAACGGTAATATCACCATTGCTCCTCTAGATCCTTCCTCCCTCCACTCTTCCAAGACCTCCTCTCATCCCCAAAAACCCCCTTCAGGTTCCGATTTCACCTCCTCTCCCCCCCCCCCACCCCCCCCTATATCTTCTCTAACCCTAATCACAACTTTTCTTTTCCGTCCAACTCCCTTCACATCCCCACAAAAAAACCCTCCTTTGCAGATCTCCTCAAGACATCTAAAGCTTCCTCTTCGAAAGGTATTTTACCCCTTCCGGAAGAAGGCTGGACCACAGTTCGTAGGAGACGTCCAAAAAGGCCTAGATCGTCTTAGTCCATCTTCCCCATATCTCCTCCTCATAAACCCTCTAGGTGTTTCTTTTGCGGGGACAGAGACCCCTCATAAACCCTCTAGGTGTTTCTTTTGCGGGGACAGAGACCACATAGCTAAAGACTGTTCCTTGGGAGATTTCAAATGCTTTGCTTGCAACTTGGTAGGCCATACATCTTTATTCTGTCCAAATAATAACCATCCTTTACCCCACAGCATCATCCCCACATCCAAAGCGAACCTACCCCACCCCTCCTCTCCGCCCTCTCTTTTTATCCCTAACGTCCCTCTCCCCGAATTAGTGGTCTCCAGTATGGGCGATTTCATCTTCTATGCCTTTTTCCAGATTCAGGTTGGTAACCCAACTTATGCTGAGCTTATAGAAAATCTAGAATTCCATTTGAAAGTTGATGAATGGAAAACTTCGGTGAGGAGAGCTTCCCTCCTATTTTATCCAGTTCCCTGATGCGGAAATGATGGATTATGCCTGCTCTAAACCTTTCTTTAGTATGGGGAACTTTGGTGGTGTCTTCTCCCCCTGGTCGGAAAATACTGGCCTTAAAGCCCTTCCTAAATTTGTTTATGTGTGGATAGAAATTCTAGATTTACCTATACATCTCTGGGACTCGGAGTTTATTTCGGCTCTGTTGGGAGAGGTTGGAGAAGTAATCATTGTTTCTGATGATATCATGTTTAAAAAGGAAGCCTCCAACTGTAAAGCCATGCTGCATATCAGAGATCCATCAGAAATTCCTCGTGTAGTCACGTTCAGATATGAATCTCCTGATAACATCCACATCATGGAAGGTTCAGTTCGTCTGCGAGTTCTGGGCAAGTCTCTGTCAGAATCTAAGGCTAGATGTCGGGATTTCTATGAAAGCTTCATTAGGAAAGAGGGGGTCCTTTCTTCCTCTTCAGAGGACCTGCCGCCGCCTCCTCCCTCCCTCCCCTGCAATGTAGAGGTAGTTCAGCCAGTTCAGGGTAATATTCCTCCTTCCTCGGATCCCAAAGGTAAAAAGCCGATGGATCAGACATGTGTTTCTCCACAGGTTCATTCCTCCGCTGTCAAGGCTGTTACTATTCCAAACTTGATGGAAGTTTCATTCAAAGGTGTTAAGCTTCAGATAGCCAAATCCTCTTGGGAGCAACTGCAATTAGTTCTATCTCCTCCAGTAGAAAGTGCGCAAGATCCTCCTCCAGCTTTTCTCAATCCGGAAAAGTCCATAGCCATCAGCTCATCTGACTCTATGGACAATGTCTCATCCTCTGATCCCCCTCTAGGCTTTGGAAATGTCAAGTCGAGAGCAAAGACTGCCAAGAAGAAAGCCTCCAGAAGCTCGTTGCCACTTCATCCCTACAAGAGACACCTGGCTCTTCAGAGAATCAGTAAACGCCCAGGTATCTCTAAGAGCAGATCTTCATCATCAGCTTCTACTCTACCTATTAACTCCATGAATTTAGACAAATTGGGTGAAATCTCGATCAATTGTGGTATTAAGGAACCGATTGATCCTACAGGATTAGCAGATATTCAAAACATGGAAAATCTAGAGGACGTTTCCTAGTGAGTGTGATCCCCTTTTCCCCCAGTTGTTCTCTCATCCTCTCTGTTATAATAAAATTGGGTTCATGGAATGTGAGAGGGTTAAACAACCCAGCTAAGCGTAGACTAGTCAGGGAATGCATAAAGTTAGCCAAGGTGGATATAGTGGGTTTGCAAGAAACTAAACTCAATTTTTCTAGGCCTAACACTTTTAAAGCTTTAGGTGGTGGCTCTTTATCATCTTGGATCTCCCTAGAGGCTACAGAGTCTAGGGGATGTGTCCTTCTTGGTTGGAACGATGACCTTTTCTCATGCTCCTCCTCTTCCACAGACATTTTTTCTGTTTCTGCTACGCTCACCCATAAACCTTCTAACTGGTCTTTCGTCGTCACATCTGTGTATGCTCCGTGTAATTCTGCTGATAGGGAAGTATGCTGGTGGGAACTGAGTAGACTCAGGAATTCCTTTTCCCTTCCGTGGGTTGTCTTCGGGGACTTTAACATGACCATTCATCTATCTGAGAGGAATGGGCGATCGGGTTCTCTCAGAGACATGGATGCCTTCAGGAATCTCATTGATTCTCTTCTTCTTTCTGACCTTCCCCTTAGCGGTAGGAAATTTACTTGGTCCAACTGCAGGTCCAACCCAGTCATGGCCAGGTTGGATAGATTTTTGGTATCCTCAGAATTTGATCTCAAGTTCCCCTTTCTTGTTTAATATGCCTTCAAAGCTCCTTGCTCAGATCTGTAGGCGTCTAAAAATACCTATGGGTGTCCGCACACAGCTCGAGACAGAGAGAAGATGATAAACGTTGCTATTAGCGTCGCAGGAGCTCGTTTGACAACGACAAATACATGAAGTGAGTCGACGGATCATACGAAGCAACGGAACTTCGGAATAACGGAAACGAGAGCTGATCGGGAGCCCCACATCATTTACAAAAGGCGGAGCACCCCTCGTGTCCTATTTATTCCAAATATGATTCAATTATGGGAGCCTGTAGATCTCCTCGTTGGCTTTCCAACGCATCTTGAATCACCTCATTCCGAGGTCGGATGAGTGAGTTAAGGCTATTACAGTAACCGCGGGTCGGATGGTTGCTACAGTGCGCGGGTCGGATGGTTGCTACAGTAACCGCGGGTCGGACCGCGCTACAGTGATCTGACCACACAAAGAAGTGAAGTTTTGACTATGCTGTGATTTGAATCTGAAAAATCTCAAACATAAAAATTGTAGATCTCTTCGTTAGTTTTCCAACGCATCTTGAATCCGCCTAATCGGAGGTCGTACGAAAGAGTTATGACTAAAATACCGTAGATATCTCAAACTGACCCGCGCTACAGTAACCGCGGGTCGGAATTTTCCGACCCGTGCTACAGTAACAGCGGGTCGGAATTTTCCGACCCGCGCTACAGTAACCGCGGGTCGGATTTTTCCTGCGCGCGCTGTTTCGACCCCAGTTCGGTTTTTGACGGTTTTTCTCGGGATTTGGTCGTTCCTGAGCATCCAAACTGACTTGATATCATCCCCTAGCATGGTTAATCAGTTATTAACTGAAGATAGAGTCAAATCACTTGTTCTCATCCAAATAACCGCTTCTGAAGCTTATAAATACGAGCTCGGGTGCTCATTTCTGGGGGGCGATTGATTATCAAGACGAGGAGGTGCTGCCGGATTGTGGAGTCAAAGGAGCACGAATTTCAGCGAGGGTTGACAGATCTTGGCGAGTTCTTCGGCATAAAGAAAGAGAGTTCGAGAGATCCGACACCCATTCCCGTCCGTCCCTTGAGATTAGGCTTGGTCTTAATCTCGAGAAGAGCCCTGATTTCGCTTGGTCGATCTCAGCGCTTCAAATCAAATACTTCCTCGGTGAAGACGAAACTCTGCCGAATTTTTCATCAACCGGATCTAGATCAAAGGCGGTCCACGGATAAACCCCGGCACAGGCAAAGATCCCACGCAAGCAGAAGACCGATAAACGATCTCTGCGTTTGTTTTGACGAGAGTTGTAACTTTTTGTTTTCATTGTGTAAAAGTCTTATAAAAAGACAATCTTTTTTTTGTTTTCATTGTAACGATTGAAGTTGTAATGAATACCGCAATGAATATAACAATTTTCGACGCAAACAAACTGGCGACCACAGTGGGAGCCAACAGCTTCGCTGCCGGAGCTGTCGTGTCGCAACCTCGGATCTGCATCCCGGTTGAAGAAGTGGTCGAATACGAGTTCGACCAACTGAAGTTCGAGGAATATCTGTCGTCCTCCTCCTCCAGATCCTCCGCCTCTCGCAAGCGAAGGAAGATCAACGCCCCCGTTGTTGCGGTAGCTGAACCTTACAACGCCCTTCCGGCCTCCAATGAGTCCGGATCTGCAGATCTGAACTCCTCCTCAATCAAGGAGTTGAGTACAGAAGGCGCGCCTATTTTATCAAAGAGAACTCGTCAAAGGCAGCGCCAACGCTGTGCGCGCCAACGAATTCTTGTGCAAAAAGCACAAAAGATGCAGAAGAAGGACATAGCTAAGAAACAACCAAGACTGCATCAAACTTGGAGGCCAAAATCCAAAACGGCAGCCGAAAAGATCGAGAATCGCGGGTCACTTGAATCCGACCCGCCGGCGCGCGGGTCACTTCAATCCGACCCGC